GAAAATTGTTTTAATTTGTTGGGTTTTAAGCTTTAAAAATGTTTAATGTTAGAGGAATTTATGCTATTTAATTCAGTGAAAAAAATCAGGATACAAATATGTACACTATGTTTCCATGTCTGTAAATTTATCAACAGTATGAGGTTGAACCATATGAAATTGCTATTTTGTATGTCAAAATGTGATTTGACATAAGTAATATCAAATGGTTCAAACTATATGGACAAGAGAAAAACACACACGGAAGAGAAATACCAAAAGTTTGGGATGATGATTATAGGTAATTTAAATATTTTTTCACTTTCTTATCTATATTTTCTAGAATAAATGTGTATTGCTTTTTTATAAGAATTTTTTTTTTTAGATGTTCCAGATGCAAACCTTTCATTGCAAAAAAGAATGGGACAAGGAGCTTATTCATGTTGTCAGTGGATTTGAGTGTTTTTGGTCTTTGGTCTCCAGAGCTCTTTAGAAATCACCAGACTTAGTGAAAACACCTTCCCTTCCATTCCTTTCCCTTCTTCCCTATGTCAACTCCCCCAACTAAACTGTGAGACATAAGCATCTGGCCCTAAGCAGGTGCTCAACTGATACTTGTGAATGATTGGAGGAGTGAATACATGATGGGGAGAGAGATTAAATCAATATTATGCAATACTTTCTGAAGTTTTGGTGATTTCCTCCCAATTAAAGCAACTGGCTTGTCCTAAGAATAGGCTGTGGCTGGATTATAAGTCCATATACATGTAATGTTAAGAAGAAAATCAGGCCTATAGAAAGACAAAAGCAAAAAAGACTGCCAATTTAGTTAAGAAGTGTCTTTGCAATTCTTTTGGATAGAATATAATATAACCAGGTAAAAATCACAGTTCATGATGAATTTCTGGCAGATGTTAGCATTCCTGGGCCCTTATCACAGAAGCATTTTGAAAACAGGGCAAGTGAAGGGTGCCTGGCCTGGTCACCTACTCCACTTTTGGGTCCTCCACAGGCTTGCACACACACATACTCAGAACTTTGTCTGTGAAGAGAAGCACTTAAAAATACTTACCTTTTTCTAGGGGTAAGTGTTAACTGATATTTTACATGTCCAGTTTTCCTTTTGATGACTATTAATGTCTACTTTGGAAGGAGGAGGAAGGGTAAAAATCATAGAAAGGGAGAAAGAGAGGAAGGCAAAGAGAAAGAAAGGGATAGGAGGGTGGGAGACAGGAAGGAAGAAGGAAGGAAGGAAAGAAGGAAGGAAGAAAGGAAAACTGGAGTAAATAAGACGAAGGAGGAAAGAAGGCAGAAAGAGATTTTTAGCCGTGTGAAATCCTTCAGCCTTTTCTCTCAGCAAATGGTAGTAACAAAGGTCCAAAGGGTAGATATTGATTATTTACCAGGTGATGTGATTGGTGGAGTATTATTTCCATCCTGTGATTACCTCTAGGTGACGCAGGCCAGCCTAGATGGTTCTAAGTCTCTGAGTAGAGCATGTCCTGAAATTAACTTGAATAACCTAATTTCTACCTTCAAGTTGATCTCTCCTACACACTGTGCTAAGGGCAAAACAGAAGTGAAACAAGAAAGATTAACAAGATCTGTGCCAGCTATTAGAGGAGAAGTCATTGTTTGTCTGCACTTAAGGAGAAAAGGACACTATTTGGCAGCGTGGGGTGCCTCTGCACCGGCTGGAGCTAATGATCATCGTCAGGATTGAGCTGGGGGGGCGGGTACCCATCGCCTGGCCCTGACTGCTCTTACTGACAGGTGCTAATGGGAGGGGCAGGACACAGCTGCCTGAGCAGGAATCCCATTATCCTTTGCTGGGTATTGATTCACCCTGTGGGATGCTTCCTTTCTGGCTGTGTTAATTTTCACAATGCACATTTGCCTTGTCCTCAGCACACAGAGATAGTCAGAGGTGCTTGGGGTAAACGTAATGGGCTCTGCCTTCCAGTCTGCAGAGGTTTTGTCTGTTGGGATGTGGGCTTTCTCTAATTATAGTGCCTGCTTGGAGACGAGGTCTGGAAGAATAGCTTTGCCACTAATATAATTGCCCGAGGTGCATAGCAAATTAATCTAATGACATGAGGTGCATTTGGAAAGTTGGGGTGTTTTTCACATCTATAAACAGTAGTTCTTATTTTGAAACTTGATGTTTTGCACAGAAAATTCAGGAAGTAATCCAACAGTTGAAATCTTAGCCATCTACAGTCATCCAAAAATATTCACTCTCTTCTTTGTTTACAATTAAGCCTTCTAAAAATTTTTTAGAGATAATTTAGAGATGATCTGTGTCTTTGGCCGTGTTCTGGAATTTAGTGGTTTGTGTTGAAGGGCAAAATATGGGTGGATTGGGTTTCTTGTAGTTAAAATTACTGAGTCTAATGTTTAAAGACATATTATCACATAGATAAGGCAGATTGTACTTGGAAGAATTACATACTGCAGACTCACTTCTGGGAACTAAAGCGGGCATTCCAGTCATCTTCCCTAACTCTCCCGAGCATCAGCCAGTCCGTATCATTTACAGAATTTCTACTTGTTAAAGAACTCTTTCTTATATGGAGCAAAATTCTGTATTTCTCTAAGTTTTATGTGAGTGTATATGTATATGTGTGTATCTATGTTTTGTATGAAGACAGTGACAGGTTAGGTAAGTTTAAGACCATGTTTAAATATTTGAACAATTAGTTTAGTTCTCAAATTGTCCCAGTCTTTCACCTTATGTGTCTGCTTTCTGAGGATGTGTAAAGTGCATGAGGACTCACTTTTGAAGGGATGCTAGTCACATGGGCTGCTTTTGTTTTCTAGCCTCAATCTGGTCATTTCTCTGAGCTATTCCACCCTCAGCATTGTGCTTGTGTTTCTATGTTAGTGATGGACTGGGGCTCTTTTGATTCCTTTCTAAAGACGAGGTGATATAAAGCCAGGAGAGATGGGCCCAGCACCTTGAGAGGAGGCTGTGCTGGCCCTTCCGGCTGTGAGTTCTGTTCTCTGGAAATAGAGTCCCTGTTCATTGGCACTACTTCTGCTTAATGAGGTAAATTCATTCCAGAGGTTTAACTATGTAAAAAGCAGATTTGCTAGGGATAGAGCAATGTATCTGAGAAGATTAGAAATGTTTCTTATAATGATGGCATGAACTCCTTCCACTTCTCAGAGGGCTCCAGGTATTTTATATGCAATATTTCTTAGCTTTCTGGAAGAGTTCTAAAGTGATCAGATTTCAGCTTTGTACCCCATTTATTCAATCAAGGACTGTGGAAGCAGAGCATGTCCACTCAAGAGCTGGAGGAAGAGCCAGTCATGGGTTTGGTGAGAATGTCCGTGAGTTTAAGGCCCATCATTTTTAATGCATCATATTTTTCTGGTTATACAAGTTATTATGTAGCCATTGTAAGAAATTTTAAAACATGACAGTGGTCTATAATTCTGCTATTCAGGAAATAATAACCATCATTACTATTTTGATAATTTCTGCTCATTTCTAATCATATGATTTTTGTGCCCTTTTTATCATTTGCTAATTTGCCAAAAAACAAAAACAAAAACAAAAACATTCCCCTACCACATTAAAAACTCTTGGAGGGTAGAAGTATCAATGACTGAGTAATATTCAGGGCAAGGGGGGACACTGGAGTGCCATAAAGTATAAGAAGTATATGAACACATAGTTCTCTGTGGACTCAAAGATATTAATGAAAATGTGACCTGAGATAAGAACTGGAGGAGGAACATTGGGCCTCTAAGAAGAGATAAGGAAACAAAGAAATTAAACATGAGAACAAAATCATTACAGAAATGAGAAACTTCTTATAAGAAGTTAAAAAATATACATGGCTGCATTACACGCTGGGATATAAAGAGCAATTTGGAGAGACTGGACACAATGCAGCAGGAAAAGAAGCAAGTTGCAAAGGGTTTTTACAGCAGAAATCACTGGTAGTTAAGGCAGACCACCAAGATCTCATATAATCACAATTGTGCCCGGAGAAGAGAAGGAAAAACCACGTAAGGTAAAGTTCTTAAATGCTGGTTTTAAATTTTTGAAAATTTCTTAAGAGATTGGATTCCACACATGCTCCACATAAAACTAATTCAGAACAAAAGTACTCTAACATGTTCTACTAAAACTAACAGAAATATTTCTATGGCACACAGGGAGGAATCAAATCATCCCTAAGGAGAACAAGGCAGGTTAGCCTCAGGCCTTTTTATAGCACTCAAATGTGGAAGAAAGTGCAACAGCATTTACAAAGTTCTTAGAAGACGGAATTACAACTAAAAATGTTTATATGCAACCTACCTGCTATCCAAGTATACAAACAACAGGCCTGTCTCCTGAGGCATTCAATAACTCAGAGTATATACTCTCATAGAGTACATACTGTCTATAGCTCTGCCAGGAATAAAAACAGAAACATCACCACCAACAAAAAACCAAAATTATGAAAGAATAAACTGAAGACAAACAGATGAATAGAGGTCTTAAGATGAAGAAAGAGAAGGAGGAACAGGCAGAGGGTAAGAAAGAAGGAAAAGAATGGAAGAGGGAGAGAAGAGAAGGAGGGAAGAGAGAGGAAGGGGGAGATGGAAGAAGAAAAAAAAGGAAAAGGCTGGTGGTAACATTGAATTCACTGAAACGAAACATGAGGTTTTATGACCATGGGGATCATGATTACAGAATAGAATGCAAATATTATAAAATGTTATAATAAGAAATTAAAAGAATATTGAGCTTGGGTAGGGAGAGAAGATGGAGAGGTCTGAGGAAAAGTTGATGCAAACAGTGAGACACAACTGTGACAGAAAGGTGGTGATATGCCAGGAAAATGCAAATAAAAATACAATAGAATTGTAAAATTAATGTCTGGCAAGTTTATCAATAATCAAAAACTATCAATAAATACTATATTGTGAAAAAGATTACAACTTGTAATGAAGGCTAATCATAAACATTAATGCACCAAATATGAAAAAAGGCATACAGAAAACAAAACAAATTAACGTACCTTTGTTAGCTCATGCTGTACCAAGTAAATAAAAAAAGCAAAATATAGAAGACCACATAATAATTCTAAGATACATAAAATACATTTGTATTGATTGGTCATATGTTAGGCCACAAAGGAGAAGCATTCTGAACGTACAGATAGTTCAGGTGTTGGCTGAAGGCAGTGCTGTGAAGGCAGGAAGTGAGCAGCTGTGGCAGAGGCTGCTCGGGACCCCTCTATACTCATTTTTTCTACTGACCTTATTGGTGGAACCTCGGTTTTATTTGGGCGTCCACAGTCGCAGCTGGGCTGCCATGTGACACAATTCTGACCAGTGATACAGCTGAGGTTTCTGGAAAAGCTTTCACGTTCTTGTTGCAGTGCTAGCCCTTGATGCTCTTCACGTTTGGTTTCTTCCTGCCTGGAAAGCAAATGTGACATGTGGAGGGGGCAGCCACCTTGTGACCACAAGATGAGAGTCATGAGGAGAAGTGGCTGCATCCCCTTATCTCTAGCATAGCTCAGTAAGAAGATGGGGAAGGGCTTTGTCCAGGACAAGGGGCCCTGTCCTCACGTGAATTTAAGGCAGCACTAAACTGTGGTTTTCTGTACTGCAGTTGAATGATAACTGGCAGAATAATCCAAGGAAAAACAAATCCCTTACCAAATAGAAACAAAACAAAGCAAAACAGAAACACCTAAAATGTCAGAATATTTAAAAAATAATTGTTACGGGAATACTCTATTTCAGAAATCTGTTAAATGGTGAATGAGGTACCCAGACCAACCTTCTATTTAAAAGTGACTATCCTAACTAAAACATATATTTTAAAAACTGCTACTTCTTAACTATGTAGGTGAGTTGGTAGAAAAGTTATTTTTTTAGGCTAGAAAAATAAGCAGGGAGAAAACCGAGGTAAGCCAAGTTCAGCAGTTGGATTTTACCTTGAGAGTGTCTGCTGAACCTGAAGAATTGGAACTTTAGTTTTCATGGCATGGGGCACTAAGAATAGGAGACAAGACCTGGACCCACCAAAGATGGGACATATAATAGGAATTTCCTCTCATAAACCTGAACCATTACAGGAAGATCTTTCAAGTGTGTGAGGACAAAACAAAAAGAGATCCCCCTCCCCATAAACACCAGAGTTCAAGAAAAATTGCCTTTATTGAACACAGGGCCTGAGCAAAAGGGAAAAGAGGGGCTCACTGACTTAAACTAGGAACCACAACCAGCTCATGTGAGCATGGGGCCTCGATTCATTCCTTCTGGGTGGACCAAAATAACTCAAGACAGAAATACAAATTGAAGCAATCCTTGACCAGCAGTGTCTAGGAGCAATTATTTATGGAGGAATCTAACTTATTCTCAGTTTTCAAAACGAGAATGAGCAAGCAGATACCAGTAAAAATATCCCAACAAGCAATGAAATAAGGCACTGAAGAAGAAAGCTAGAGGCTGGGCGCGGTGGCTCACGCCTGTAATCCCAGCGCTTTGGGAGGCTGACGTGGGCAGATCACCTGAGGTCAGGAGTTCAAGACCAGCCTGGGCAACATGGCAAAACTCCGTCTTTACTATAAATACAAAAATTAGTCGGGCGTGGTGGTGCGCAGCTGTAATCCCAGCTACTTGGAAGGCTGAGGCTGCAGAGTTGCTTGAACACAGAGGCATAGGTTTTAGTGAGCCACAATAGCACCATTGCACACCAACCTGGGTGGCAAAGTGAGACGCCATCTCAAAAAAAAAAAAAAAAAAAAAGAAAGAAAGAAAGAAAGAAAAGTAAAGAAAACTAGACACAGCAAGCCACAGAATGGAACTACAAGGTCAAAGTATAATGTTTTTTTCTATATTGATGTTGGCACATTCAAGATGACAGAGTTTTAGATGCTTTATAGAAATAAGAACACAAGTTATTGTTGCAGAGAAGCAAAATGCGTTTAAGTGCTTATGAGATTAAACCACCTGCATTACTAATAAAGACCACTGTTTGTGATAAGGCCTCAGAATCACAGAAAGGCAGATTCTCTCGAATTGTACTATGCCCATCGGAAATGGAACAATGCTCACTGATCGTTTTTCTTTTTCCTTGCAAAATCAAAACACCTAGGTCACCTTGGATTAAAAATCCATATGGATAATTACGTAAAGAAGAAAAGCCCCAATATTTTACTCAAAAGTGTGTGTCTTGTCCATGGGTGAGATAACAGGAAAACAGTAGTTTAAACACTGTCTCCTTTTGTATTCATTATTTTATGGGTGTCATTCTCCCATCCCCAAAATTAGATGGCTGAAATAGGCAATCCTTCAGTTTCCACACAGCTTCAACATTGTATGATTTTTGTGATTTTCCCATAACCTAGTACAGCTTCTTCAACAGCACTGCCACTGAAGAAGTGAGGCTGCATTCTGGCGTAATTTGGTGAACTGAGCAAGTGTTAACATGAGAATGCCACAAGTGCCTAAGACAAAGCCAATTTCCAGCTCTGATCTTTAAAAAAATGATGAAGTTTAGGTAACCTAAATTTTGAGGTTACCTCGAACACATTTCCAAGATTAGGGTGGCATGAGGATATAAAGGGTTACAATATTCCTTAAAGCAGGAGCCCCTAGCCCCTTGGCCACAGATCAGTACTGGCCCATGGCATGTTAAGAACTGGGCCACACAGCAGGATGTGAGCTGCGGGCAAGTGAGCAAAACTTCATCCGTGTTTACAGCCACTCCCCATCGCTCACATTAGGGCCTGAGCTCCTCCTCCTGGCAGATCGGAGGTGGCATTACATTCGCATAGGAGTATGAATCCTATTGTCCTACTGCGAACTGCACATGCAAGGCATCTAGGCTGTGTGCTCTTTGTGAGAATCTAATACCTGATGATCTGCCACTGTCTCCCATCACCCCCAGATGGGACCATACAGCTGCAGGAAAACAAGCTCAGGGCTCCCACTGATTCTACATGATGGTGAGCTGTAGAATTATTTCATCATATATTATAACGTAATAATAATATGGATAAAGTGCACTTTATTTATAAATGTAAATAATAAATGTGGCACCTGAATTATCCCCAAACCATCCCCTCTTCTCCTGGTCTGTAGAAAAATTGCTTTCCACAAAACTGGTCCCTGATGCCAAAAAGGTTGCGGACCACTGCCTTAACAGATATAGTTCTAAAAGCGAAAATTAACAAAATATGAGCAAAGGTAAGAGCCACAACTTCAAACTAGGTTTGGAAGAGAAAGAAAAAACAATTTAATTAAAATAAAATTGTTATTGAAAAACTATGAAAAGAGAATTCATTATGGTACAAAACTTTGAAACAAAAAATGGGAACATTTTTTTAAACTTGGAGGTATGTAAGAGAAAACTAATTTCTTATCTAAAGTAACAGATCATTTTAATAAAAGTGTCTATCATTGAGTGAATGTTGTTCTTGCAAGATATCTAATGCAATAAATTCAAATATAAACCTTAATTAATATGCCAAATTTGGATAGTCATTCAGTGTAATTTAGCAAGGTTCTCAATCAGGAGAGCTGAAGCTTCACTGAGTTGTTAATCTAATAAAAAAAGCTTTGCAGAACTTTCTGGGCTGTTGTCAGAAGATGGAACCTCCAGCATAGTAAGACCCCCTGATCCAGGCTCCCCATCTCCTCCCATTTCATACCAGTGCAGTATAATTTAATAGATTCGAGGGATTAAAAACTGAAATTATACTTTATCAAATACCTTCCTTGGGTAAGAAATTGGCATCAAGCATTTGCATGTTACATCACATCATTTTCACAACAAAACTATGAGGTAGGTGTCATTATCCTCATTGCATAGTTGAAGAAAAGAGGTTCAGGTAAGTTATCTGCCTAACATGACCCAGTTAGTGGTGAGGCTGGAATTCAAAATGAAATATTTTTGACTTGGAAATTCATTTACAACAGTCATATGACTGTCCTCCTCCTGATATCATGGAAACTTTGATTTTGAGCAAAATCAGGAATGATATCATATTATTCTGCAATCCATTATTGCTAATGGGCTTATTCAAGTTTTGTAGTGAATTGTCCCGTCATTGGCCTTATGTGAGGCAAATCATTTTGTATCCTATCACATTTTTATTAACACTGTCTTTTCTCTCCCTTTCCGCTTACCTCCCTTTATCTCATCAAATTGGATAATGCTTAGTGACCAAGACCCGGGCTGTGTGTTCCTAGATGCCTCTCCCCTGCAAGTTTCTCCCACGACGCTTGGTATTCCCATTGGCTTACTGTTCTCATACCTCTATTCCTTCATGTCGTTCCCCTTCTTCAAATCTTCTAGTGGCTCCTCGTTGACTCAGAAATACATTATCATTTTATTCAATGTCCTTCATAATCCACCACAATTCATATTTTTAGTTTTCAAACCCACAACTCACAATCTATTAATCCCTTACTGTATTTCAAATATTTTATAAGCACTTTGTAAATTAATGTATTTAATTATTATAGCAGACCTATATTATTAGTTATTATTATCTCCATTTTAAAGAGGAGGGAACTGAGATCACTTGCCCGAGGTCATACAGCAAGTATGTGTCAAAGCCAGGACGTGAATTATGAAACTAATATCTCCAAGCCCCTATTCTTAAGTATTATTTATACTGCTTTTATGTGTGTAAAATAATACAATAATTATTTGCATTTGTACATTACTTTACCATTCACAAAACCATCTTTATACACTTTTTTAAAATCTCATTTTCCCAGCATTTTGGAAGGCTGAGGTGGGCAGATCATGAGGTCAAGAGATTGAGACCATCCTGGCCAACATGGTGAAATCCTGTCTCTATTAAAAATACAAAAATTAGCTGGGCATGGTGGCACATGCCTGTAGTCCCAGCTACTCGGGAGGCTGAGGCAGGAGAATCCCTTGAACCCTAGAGGCGGAGGTTGCAGTGAGCTGAGATCATACCACTGCACTTCAGCCTGGCAACAGAGCGAAACTCCGTGTCCAAAAAAAAAAAAAAAAAAAAAAAAAAAAACTCATTTGGTCTCTTAAAAGTCCTTTTTAAAAATTTGATGTCTCAATAATCCTCCAAGGAAATTATTAGCTCAATTTTTTTCCCCAGGGCAGAAACT